CGGATATCGACTCACCTGCGAGCAACCCAGAATATACACCACCCACCGAGCTCCCCGAGGACGACGGCACAGTCGACACCGCCGAGGAGCAGGTCACCAACACCACAGAGCCCAGCGAGCAGAGCATGCATGGCAACAACGCGCAGGCGGAGAGCACCCAGCGAAAGCAGCACGCACATCGCCGAAAACATCGACACCACCGCGCAGGGCCACCTCTGGGAGCGCGCTAGCCTGCTGGAGAACTCGCCGGGCCGCACCACCGAGACCCCCGACCTCATCAGCAAGAGCGCGGCCTACGAGGCCCCCCCAGCAGCGGCCGACCAGCTGGGCCAGCTCTTCGAGAGGACCATCGGCACAATCGAGCGGTTCTACTGCATGGCGCACACGGACGCCCTGGAGGACAGGCCGCGCTGCATGGGCCGAGGGCAAGGATATCAGCTCAAGGAAGTAGAGAACAAGGAGCGAGGAGAGAAGCGAGAGCGCTACAGGAACATGAAATCAGATTGGTGGGCGCGAGTGGAAACTACGCTCGCGCTGGCGACTAAGCTAAGGAGTAGAGACAGAGGGCGCCAACAGCTGGAAGGATTGGAAAAAGGCAGCTCGCGCGCTCGCCTACGCCATGCCAGAGATGAAGGGCCGCGTCACCCCCACGGCGGAACTGCACCACCAGATCTGGAGGGGCAGGCTCTAGAACCTTGGCAACGTACCCGTGGACATCGTCGACGGCATGGCTAACAGGCAGAGCAGGAGAAGTACGCAGCGGTGAAGCGCGACTACAGGGAGAGCACGAGGCTCTTCTGCCAGTGGCTGGCAGACACGGAGGCGAAGCCAGGGGTGCTCCACTCGATCACGAAGCCGCCCGTCAGGCGGGAGGAGGAGATCGCGACGGCAGCCAACATCACGGACTGCCCAATAGAGATCGCAGGCATGGTGGAGGAGGCGCTCAGCAAGAGATGGAGCTGCAGCGAGCTCCCCCACGAGCAGCGCACCGCCATCCTGAAGCGCCTGCGCATGCAGGCGCTCTGCACGGGCTACAGCGCCTGGACCGTGGAGGACCTTGACGCGGCGCTCAAGGGCGAGCCCGACCGAGGACAGAGAACCGACGAGCTGAACTGCTCGGACATCAGGAGGCTGCCACTCGAGGGCAGGCAGGCGATCGTAGACTTGTTCAACGCGTGCGAACAACAACTGATGTGGCCGTGGCAGCTCCTGTGCTCGCTGGTTATGGTGGTGCCCAAACCAGGCAAGGGCGACAGAGCGCTGGCATTGCTCCCCAAGCTGGTCCGCACGTGGGAACTACTCCACCGCCCAGCCGCCCGCAAGTGGGCCAATGACCACGAGCGGAGCTGGGATGCCGCCGTCGCGGGCAACAGCTGCCTGAGGGAGGCCGCGCGCGGGATCATCACCGACGAGTGCTGCGACGGGATGCAGATCTTCCAGGGTTGCACGATCGCTGTCATCGAGAAGTCCTACGACAGCCTGAGGATAGACATCGCCATCCCCGAAGCCCTCGCCATGGGCCTCAACCCGCGCATCCTGACGCTACTGCTGCTGCAGCACTCCAGCACCAGGCACATGAGATGCAAGGGCAGCTACTCGCACGACCTGCTGGCGGACCGCTCCATCCTAGCGGGATACAGGCACTCCAACGGCATAGCCAGGACAGTCGTCTACGCGGTGATCAGCAAGATGCTCTCACGCCCCCCAAGTGCCCCAGCCCCGCTCCCGAGAGCATGGTTCGACGACATCAGCATCGGGACCATGGACAGCCAGCAAGCAGTGGAGGGCCCGATGGTCAAGAGCACGCACGCCGTCAAGCAGGAACTTTCACTGCACGGGCTGAGCCTCGCCGACAAGACAGCGATCATGACGGCGATTTTCGTCAGCACGAAGTCGATCGCGCAAAAGCTACGAGAGCGAGGAGCACGAGTACCAGCTGCCCGAGAAGGGAGAGACCTGGGAGCAGACCGTGCAGCGCGAGGCACCACGACCAGGTCAACACACCACACAAGTGCCAGAGCAGCCAACCAGCGCCTCCAGCAGGTCGGATCCAAGCCGCGCAAGCTGAAGATCCACAGGCGCCGAGGAGTCGCCCACCAAGGCCCCATGGCAGCGCTGAGATACAGGGCCATCATCCGCGGCCTCAGCCCCACGGCGATGCGAGCAGCGCGTAGACGTTACGCCCAGGCTTTCAGGAGAAGCTGGCCTGGGTGCTGCCTCACCACCTTCCCGGCACTGAAAGGGGCCGACCCCAAGGAGACCATCACCAAGGGGCAGCTCAAGGCCTGGTTCGACTTGTGGAGCAGGTGCCCAGACATCAGGACGCAGGCGCGCAAGGCTTGGCCCAAGGTATAGTTCAGGCTCTTCAACACCATGGAGCCGAAGCGCTGGCAGCAAAGGCGCGGGGTCATGGGCAGCATCATCTTGTTGCTCTGGCCCGCAGGCTGGGACTCGAAGGGGGCCCGGCATCTGGATCGACAAGCAACGGGGCACGCGGCTGTGCCCCGAAGGCCGAGAGGGCGGGGGGCCCGACGACATCATCGAGGCGCTGCTACGAGACGTTCGAGAACAGCAATGGCAAGAAGCGGCAGCCCACTACAACGGCAAAGGCGCCGAAATGGGCATCGACTGCAAGGGCATCACTCACCGCCTGGAGACCTACAAGAAAAGAGGCCAGCACCAGCAGTGCGGCGCGCTGGTCGCAGCAGCCTGCGCAGGCACGTGGACTCGAGCACGGCGGGCGGCCACCTCCGGCGACAACGATAACAGGTGTGAGTGCGGCGCTGTCGACGCCAACCTCCACCGCATCTGGGAGGATTGCGCCGCCCGCAAGCCCAACGAGATCTACGATGAGACACAAGGATTCGCCGAGCGAGCACCCCGCGAGGCGGGGGAGAAACCGATCTTCTAGCTGAGGGGACTTGCGCCGTCTGCTTGGACCATCCCACCACCGCGCGACACCACCGAGGAAGGGGCGGAGACGCTGGGCACGGCCCGAGAGGGCCTGGTCCGCCCAGCACCAGGAGACAGACTAGAAGCATGCGGAGGCGGATCAGGGGGCGAGTACAACAGCGACGACAGATACCGCCGATGCGGTTGGAGTTGGGTGATAGTGGACAGAGACACCACCAACGTGAGCAACTACGACATAGCCGCTGGACAGTTTGGAGCACTCCCAGGAGACCGCCAAACCAACAACCGAGTCAAGCTGCACGCGCTGATCAAATGCCTTTCAGCCACGCGAGGCGCCATTACCTACTGGACGGACAGCGAGATCACATTCATCGACTGGCAGATGCGAAGGGACCAGCAGGTTTTGCAGACGGGGGCCAACAGCGACTTCTGGCGGAAGCTCAACTGCACGATCCAGGAACGAGGAGACCGAAGCGACATTACAATCAAGCACATGAACAGCCGCATGACAGGGGAGGAAGCGGCCACCAAAAACGCTTGGGCGGAGAAGGGAGCAGAGAAGCTCGAGGCGGCAAGCGGGAACCCAGAGCAGGTCGGGAACGGGATTGCGGACCTGGCATACCGCCTCATCCAGTCCGCGACAACGCCGCTCGACGACCATCTGCAAAGCCCAGAGCCCGCTCCGCTCGAGGACCAGCATAACAGAGACAAGGTAAAGTACACGAACACGACCGTCGACCTGCAGAACATAGACCAGGTAAAGTACACGAGCGTCCGCGAGGGCAACCAGCAGAACATAGACAAGGCGAGGTACACGGAGGCCTCGGGCGGTGGGAGACGGACTGTACCTAACCCACCGCCCGAGGAAAGGAACCGACGTGGCCACCGCCACTAGGAGAAGCGCTGCTCGCTGATGGAGCTGGTCGAGCTGGCGCGTGAGCCGCCGCGAGAGCCTCGCGGCGCTGGAGGCAGAGGCGCAGCGCTGGCTGCCGCGGAGGGCCCGCCCGCGACCTCGAGTTGGCCGCGCAGGCCTGAGCCGAGGGGCCGCGCGGCGGCGCAGGCGGGGCGCACGCCGCGGGAGAAGAGACAGGCGCCTTCGGCGCCGAGGGAGGGGCTGCGGAAGAGCTCCTCCTCCCCCTCCTCCTCCTCCTCCCCCTCCTCATCCTCCTCCTCCTCCTCCTCCTCCTGCTCCTCCTTCTCCCCCTCCCCCTCCCCCTCCTCCTCCTCCTCCCCCTCCTCATCCCCAATTTCCTCTTCCTCCTCCTCCCCCTCCATCTCCCCCTCCTCCTTCTTCTCATCTCTCTACTCGTCCGCATCCTCCTCCTCTTCTCCTCCTCCTCCCCCCCTCTCTACCTCCTCCTCCCCCTCCTCCTCCTCCTCCTCCTCCCGCCTCCGCCTCCTCTTCTCCTCCCGTTTCCTCCTCCTGCTCCTGCTCCTCCTCCTCCTTCTCCTCCTCCTCCTTCCTCCTCCTCCTCCTCCTCCTCATCCTCTCCTCCTCCTCCTCTTCCTCCTCCTCTCCCTCCTCCCCCTCCCCCCTTCCCTCCCCTCCTCCCCTCCTCCTTCTCCTCCTCCTCCTCCTCCTCCTCCTCCTCCTCCTCCTCCTCCTCCTCCTCCTCCTCCTCCTCCTCCTCCTCCTCCTCCCCCTCCATCCTCCTCCTCCTCCCAATTACTTAAATATAAAATACCTCTCCCTCCCTCCTGATGGCGTCCGGGTGATGGCCGCGCACCCTCCGCGTACTTTTTTTGACACGCAGGATTCCCAGGAAATCCAAGGAAACGACTCTCGCTGAGGCGCCAGCGTCATTTTTTCCCAAAATGCTGCTCTCGTTGAGGCGCCGGCCTCACTTCTGCTCCCGAATCGTTCCGAATCGTGCTCCCGCTGCAGCGTGGGCCTCATTTTCGGATCGGTGTTTGGCCTCCGTCGTTCAGGATGGCGTTCTCGCCCCAGCGCGGGCCTTTTTCTCGCGCGCCCATCCGCCCGCCACCACAGCGCCGCACCGCCACCACCACCACCACCACCACCACCACCACCGCCACCACAACCACCACCACAAACCACAACCACAAACAGCAACCGTACAACACCACCCCCCAGCCACCACCACCACCACCACCACCACCACCACCACCACCACCACCACCACCACCACCACCACCACCACCACCACCACCACCACCACCACCACGACAACAACGCACACACGCACGCACGCACGCACGTGCACCACCACCCACTACGCACGCGCGCGCGCGGAGCCACAGGTCCGCTACGACACACGTCCGCGGATAGAGAAAATCAGCGCCATGGTAAGGGATGGGAGGGAGGGGTAGGACGTCAGATATGACGCGAGCGCACCTAGCTTGTCCCACTCCCCTCCCACTCCTCCCCCCCCGCGAGATGGGGAAATCTACAGGAGACAAGAGACCTTGCCCCCACTCAGCCGACTCCAGAAATACTGAACCCAACGATGTGGACGTCTCACCCTACTTGCCGCCGCGTTCCGCCCACTTTCCGCCCGCCTTCCGCCCAGCAACTCGCCCCAGTTTCGATCCCGCCGCCTTCCGCCGCCTTCCGCTGGGGAAGAGGTGTCAACCCCTCGATCTCCCTGCTTCCGCCGGCGCCCTCCGGCTTCCGCCGAAGGCGCAGCGCGCCGAGGGTAAGGGCCCCCTTTCTGGAACGTCCCACGCCGTGGGCACGCTCTCGCGAGCAGAAGCCTTCGGAGGTGCGGGCAGGCTTCTTGGCTCGGCGCTGGCTCCCCCCCGCCCGGGCGCGTGCAGCGCGCCAGGGGGCGGCGCTGGAGGCGCCGCCAGGGGGGGGCTCCAACGCCGACCCAGGAGACCCGCACGGGCCTCAGGAAGCTTGCGCCGGCGCCGACGCGCTTCTCCTCTGAGCCTCCCCCCCCCCCCCCGCCCCTCCCCCCTCCCCGTCAGACTGCAGTCGGGGCGTTGGAATCGTGGCTAAGGAACCCTTGAATAAGGAGCGGGGCCCTTTCTTTCACAAGTGAAAACTTCGGCTTCCATCGAAGACATGAGGGAAACCGAGGCGAGTGTAAAACAATAAAGGAACGCCGAGCCCTCCCCAGCGAAAAGGTTCTTCTCAGCGCCCCGGCCTACCTCCCACACCACCCCACACAACCGGAGGCCACCCTGGCATCGCCGACTGTTCGGGGAGGGGGGCACCAGAGCCAGTGAGAAGAAGCATGGAATACGCCTCCTTTCCTCTTACTCCCCCCTCCTCC